CAGAAGAAATACAAGTGGCAAGTAAATACATGAAAAAATGCTCCACAGCATTGGTCATTCTAGAAATGCAAATTAAAACAACACTGAGATACCATCTCACCAGAGAAAGAATGGCTATCATAAAGAAATCAACTAATAACAATTATGGAGAGGCTGTGGCAAAAAGGAACTCTTCTCTATTGTTGTAGACTGGTACAACCACTTTTGAGGAGTGTGTAGACTCCTCAAAAACTAGGACTGGAAATACCATTCAAACCAGCTACTCCCCTTCTGGGTATTTTCCCAAAAGAACTGAAAGCACCATACCATAGTGAAGTAAGTGCACCCATGATTATAGCAGCACAATTTATCAGAGCCAAATCCTGGAAACAACCAAAACGTCCCATCGCCTGAGGAATGGACTAAGAAAAGTGTGGTATTTTTACACTACTCAGTTATAAACAAAGACAAAGTCGAAGGCTTTATAGGTAAGTGGCTGCAACTAGAGGCTATACTCATAAGTGAAATAAATTAGACCTACATGTGTACATATTGTATTATCTCCCTAGTACAAGAACCTGAAAGAGTTAACCTGAAAAGTATAATGGGTATAGTAAAATAGAGAGAAACTGAACTTAAGGATTAAAAAACAAAGAAGAGAAAAGAGAAAAGATAGGAAAAAAAGGAGGGAAAAACATATATATATATATATATATATATATATATATATATATGATTGCTGAAATGATTGTACTAATAATTTATACCAGTTTTTGAAAATAGCAGTTATTGTGTAGAAGTTTTACCTTGACTAACTCTATATGCTGATATCTGTGATCTAAGCAACGATGTCAAGGACAACAATGTATAATACAAAAACCATGCTTGAATACCTCTCATCTTGGTCTTCTAGAGGTGTATCATTTCTAATGTCTTATCAATTATTATTATACTCTCATTAAAATAATTTTTAAGAAGCAAAAAAAACAAAGACAAGAAAAAATTAAGGTTTCTTGAAAGCAAATGCTAATATTCAATTTGTCCAGTCTTTTATAACTATATGTTAATCTGAGCAACAGACTTGATGGTAAAAATAGATAATAGAATCATTTTTAGTTAGCTATTCTTGTTTTGAAAATCTGTAATATAAATCTGTATTGTTGTATGTTACCCTGTTTGTCATTGTTTCTGCTATTTGTTTTTTCCATTCAAAATTAAATTAAATTAAATTAAGAAAAAAGGCTGTTTATTTTCTAGCTAGGTCTTATTTTCAGGGAAACACAGGATTTAACTGGAACTTGTGAACCTTCTCTTATCTATGTACACCTCTCTTAATACCTTTCAAGATGAATAATTTGTTGTTTTTATTCCATATTCATACATTTGTGTGCAGACTATTGGGTCAGTGTCTACAAAATCTATTCATAGCATGCAACAATCAAGACCATCCTTTCTGTTGCCATGTCGACTCACTCTTCTGTGCCAGGAACATTTTCAACTTTTCCAGAAGCAGCATCCTTGAAAAATCCAGGAGATCACAAAAAGTACAAAGATGAGAAGCAGTACTCATCCTGGATAATACCAAGTTCTTCATAGCAGGTCAGAATAATAGAAGTGAACTCACGAGAATAACTAGAAGTCTTTCCCTCCTCAGTGCTAATCAAGCCTTATTCCTCCTGGTGGGGCCACATAGCATGGTGAGTGTTTCCACCCCATTCCTAAATTATATGAAAGGGAGAAAAATAAAGATGGATTCTGCAATATGGAATGTAACTCTCAGGCAACATGTGGAATAAAATCGCAGCTCTAACACTAGAAAAATGTTTTTTTTTTTTTTTAATGTATTTGGTACAGTCTTATTATGCAGCTCAGACTCATAGTGATCCTCCTGTTTTCAGCCTCCCCAGTGCTGGGATTATAGGCATGCACCACCATGTCCAGACTTGGTCACCAGCTCAGCATGCCTCGGGGTCGGGGATGGTAGAGCATGTGGAATGGGGATTGAACCCTGGTCCCTGCGCTTGTCAAAGTAGGCACTTAATCCGCTGAGTTATCTTAAAACTGCATTGTCTTTAAAGTCTTTACCAAAGGGTAAAAAAAAGAGGATCCTGACTACTAAGACTGTTTTCTTTGTCTCATCACAGGTCATCCAAATGGTAGTATTCTCCCCTAGCATGTCTAGGAAGGTGTTCTGACATTTCAAGCAGAAAAGCAGGTGCAAAGGAATACATTCAGCCTTGGAAAAATTATACTATTTGACTTAGACAATCACATTTTAAAATTTTAGATGTTTAAAAATCTCTTGCATTTTAAACTGCCAATAAAATAGACTCAAAGTTATTTTAATTTTTTTCCACAGTAGGAACTTATAATTTGAGTAGTAACTGAAAGACATTCAGAAAAACATCATCTTCTCATTAGGTTCACAGAATCTACCAGGTTTTATGGGTTTCTGCCTAATAAAAGAAGTCCCTACAAGAGGAAGTTATCTAGTGTGACTCCTCCTGCCCCAAATGCACTTACCATTTTTAGCACAATGCAGGAGGAATTCTGGTATAAAAGAGAAAATTGCTACTGAGAAGTGCTATTCAAGGTTCCTAAGCCCTACTGGAAATATACAAAAAGTCAACATTTCACAGAGGTTTTTTTTTTTTTTTTATTGTTGTTTTTCTTTTTTAGACAGGATCTCTCTCTGTAGTTCTGCTGGCCTTGAATTCAGGATGTATCCCAGGCTGGCCCTGAACTTGCAGCAATCCTCCTGCCTCAGCCTCCCAAGTGCTGGGATTATAGGTGTGCCATCAGAGGTTCTCATATGGTTCCCTAGAAAATTCTACATAGGAAACATCAGTACTTTGTAGGAAATACCTGCATATTTAACTCTTGACATTGGTATTTTAAAGAATCAAAGCATTAAATAAGAAGTTGGTTCATATAAGTTATTTTTCAATTATGCTGTAATTGTAGAAATGTCCATTGTCTGGTGAACAGAATGTATCATAACCATCAAGTGGAATGAATATTGGTTACCAACAAAAAACTATGGATACAGGCTACAACTTTCATGAACCTCAAACCCTATATCAAATGAAATGAGCCTGATGCTAAAGATCATATAGATTCCATTTCCATGGAATGTCCACCTACAGCAAGTCTAATGAGGCAGAAAGTAGAGCTGGAGGTGCCAACAGTAGGGCTGGGAGTGGTGAGCGAATGCAAGCAGATGCCAGAAATTTTGGAGGAAAGGTAAAGCGATCGAAAATTGAACTGTGGATGGTTGTACAACTGTGTAAATTTACTAAGAAATCATTGGATTACAAACCAAAATGTATTTCATGGTGTATACATGCTACCTCAACAGAATAGTTTAAAGACCAAACAGAACAAAAGTTAAGGGTGACTTGAAAACAGTTGCTCTTTTTGTTCCTCTGGGGGACACATATTTTTCCAGTTTAAAGGAAAAATAATTCGATGCATACTACTTTCTTATTTTTTTTTCTTCATTTTCCCCTAGATCACTGGCATCCACAACTATGCATTTAGTTTTCATTTAATTTGCATTAAATTAGTATTTAGCTGTTTTATGCTCCTTTTCAAACTTTAATTTTTTTCATTTTCAATCATCCCAAGAAAATGCCTTGTCCTTTACAGAGCTGCAGGAACCTAGCTTACATTTTTCACCATTGGTTAAAATTTGGATTGCAGTTGAAATCCACTGTTAAGTACATTGTAAATAACCAAGATAATAAATAACAGGCCTATTAGTAATCCACGGAATATTATCTATATTCATTTCAAAAGTCCCCAAAGGAGCCCTTTATTTTGTAAGAAAAGGTAAGAACTTTCTTATGACATTTGCCTTGGTCCCAGGGAAGTGCAAGCTAGTTTCATTATTTAGGTAAATAGTTGAGGAGGTGCAGAGTGATCTTTCCTGTCTTGGGCACAAATTCCTCAGAGATATGGCCTTCACTCCTGAGCTGAGAGCGTAGGGCGGGCAGGAGCAGCCGGGCACCAGCGCTGCTGGGCAACAGCACCCATTGTGCGTCAGGCGCCTGACACCCCGACCCAGCTCAGGTTTCTGGAGAGCCAGTCTTCCACAGAACTGAATATTTCATGGCCTCAGGTGAAACCAGAAAGACAGATTGCCTTCTCCCATTTGCAAATGCAAAATAATTAATTTTATATTTTGAATTTTCGTCTAGTTTTCTGACACTACAAAAAGGGGGAGGAGCTTTGATCCTTCAAAAAAACAATCATGATCTATGGTGGGGGAGCGATGCAGTTAAAGTCAGAGGTGGTTGCGTGTTTGAGTATTCATATTTAATTTTTTTTTCTTTTCGTTTGGAAGAGGCTGAACATTCACAACGATGTCACCATCCTAGCTAAATACCAGCCTTGCCCTTCTCTGTGCTACTCTTAGGAAGGCCAAACTTACCGCTCCTTCGCTCCCTGACGCCCACTTAACAGGGACAGCAGCGAGCGTGAAGCACGGGCCGGGCTTTCGCTGCACCTGCAGCTCCGGTAGTGGCGCGAATGAATGAAAGAAAGGCTAGACAGCAGCCTTCGCTAGCTCACCAAGGCTGGGGGAAAGGACGGTCGCAGAGGACTTAACAGGTGACTTTTTCAGGGGGTTTTACTCCAAGGTCCCTGCAATTAGTTAAGAAATCACTCGGACCTTAGATAGAGGGAAAGGCTGGTTAACAACCAGCTAAACTAATAGCCGGGCTGAGAAGGGGCTGGCTCTGATGTCGGGGAGAAGCAACCCTCTTCCCGGAGCAGAACGGCCCACCAGGGAATCCGAACCCTCAGCAGGCAACCGGAAAAAGAAAAAGAAAACAAAAAACATAGAAAGCCTTCATCAATGCCCTTTTCCAGGAAGTGTTGGTACGCTAAGCTTCGCTGAGACACCCGCTCCAACACACACACACACACACACACACACACACACACACACACACACACACACACACACTGGCACGCGCTGAAGGGGGCGGCCGCGGGTTGCCAGGACCAGGGCGCCCTACCTGGGAGAGCGCTCACCTGCGCGGTCCCGGCGCTCCTCCGCGGAGCTCTCTGAAGCCGGGGTCGGTGCAGGGCTGTGCAGCTCGTCCCCAGGCGCGCAGACTAGGCTGCAACGGCCCGGCCCGGCCGGGTGCGTTAGGGCAGAGTCCGGCGACAGGGTGACTCCGGGGAGGGGCCGCGGCTCTGCTCTGGCGCACGCCCAGTGCGCACGGACCAAAAGGCGGCCCTGCAGGCGGCTCGGTGGAGACTCCTGCTAAATAAAAGATCTTTGCTGTTGTCTTTCAACAAGTTCCTGTTTGTGTCCTCAATCCATAAACTTTTGTTTCGTTCTTGTTTTTAACAAACTTTTGAAAAAATCATTTGAAACTGACAAAAAGTTGGAAAGCCTCTGTCCTCGGTGTCCACGCACTACATAAGCGGTGTACTTGTCAAAAGTACAAAATTAGCAACAGTCCATTATTATTAACTAAACTCTGACTTTATGCAAAATTTGCTGGTTTAGGGGCTACTGTCTTTCTATGCAGGGTTCCCATTCTGCACAGCGTTAGCGTCGTGCCTTGGGCACCCAGCGCAGTTCTAGGACTTCCCTGGAGCAGACAGTGGAAGATGGAGAAATAGAGACAAGAGTCAGAAAACAGAAAGAACTGCCCAGCCTGCAGGACATTTATTTATACACTGGGCCAGTTGATGTCACCTGACACCCCTCTGCCAGTCAGCTTGTCAGCTTGGCCTGCCTTCGGCTCTGTGTTCTGGGAGCCAGCCTTGCTTTAGCCCCTGTGTGTGACCCATCTCCAGCTTCAGCGGCTCCCCACAGTACTCCTTGGTCTCCTCTGGTCGGTGACAGTTTCTCAGACTTTTCCTGACTTGTACAGTTTTGAAGACATGTGGCATGGATTCCAGGAAAACTCTGTCAATGTCCCTTATTCGGTTTGGTCTGCTGTTCTCACATGGTTATGGATCTGGAGAGAAAGGCCACACAGAGGACTGCTCTGCTTGATGTCGACCTCAAGGCCTTAGACTCCCATCTCCCGGGCTTCCCTACATGAAAATCACTAGATTCAGCCCAAGCTCCAGGTGTAGGAGGAAGCAGACTCCCTCTCATAGAAGAAAGAAAGACCATCTATTAGTATTTAGAACTATATTGCAGAGAAGAGTTTTAAATTTTTCTTCCATTTATTTATTCAATTATTTAGATTCATGGATATTTATCCTATACTTAGGGCTATAATTCAGTGTTACATCTGCCATTTTGTTGCTCAAATTGTTCCACTAGAAAGTAATTTATGTTGATGTCTATATCCCCAGGAAAGTTCATACTCTTTTCCAGCTTTGGGTTAAAAAATACTATCTCCCCCACCACTCTCGCATTTAGCAAATTTGGAAACCTGCAGCCTAAATCCCTCAGTATCCAAAGATTTTCCAGAACCTTCCCTGGAATCTTGCAATTACTAATTCCCACTGCAATTTGAAGGAAAGGTCATTTCTTTCCCTCACAGATTAATCTATGAATTACAACCCAATAGATAAAGGGAAAGCTGATGATTCTTAGCTTTTCTTCAATTAATCCTTGTGCCTCTATTAAATAGATGGATGTATTTCACAGAGAAATGCTCCAAAGATAGTCATGTTTACCACTAGCTTAAACATTGAAGAAATCCAGCTGCTAAGGCTCACTTGTTATTTTGCTTTGGTTTGCTTATGTTTGCCTTAGAAAGTCAGTTTTGTAAATACCACATTTCCTCCTTCTGAGCTTGGGTGTTGCTCACATTTAGTGCTGTCCTGCTTTCTGGGATCCTTCCATCTCTCATTATGGCCATGATACTTCTTGGAGAGAGAAATCTACTCTTCATTAGTCTGGGTTGTTCCCAGATAAATATGAACATGGATGAAGATGGATGAAGTATGGGGATGAGTGGTTCAGTGCAGAATCCACAAAGCTAAATGATTTTGACTTTTCAACTACCTTTTGACAAAATTAACTAACATTAATATAAATTAAAGAAAAAATTCTTATTTGTGTACATATTGTGGGAGTGTGTATGTGTGTGTGTGTGGTGTGTCTCTGCTGGTGGAGACTGAACCAAAAGATGCACTACTGGTGTTTCCCCAGCCCTTCTTTCTGAAATAGAATTTCATAGAGACTTTCAAACAGGACCCCAACTTTTGGTCTTCCCTTGTCAGCATCCTGGCCAGCAAATCTTTTGTATTTAAGTGTCATTTGCTATATGGAATAAATGTTTTTCACAAAATTCATATGTGGATGACATTTGAAAGTGGAAACTTTCAGAGGTAATTAGGTCATGGAGCCCTCGTGAGAGGGTTTAGTACTTTTTTAGGAGGAAACGAGAGAGAGGACCGCACTGTCATGTACAGATCTGGCAGGTAAGCAGCCATGTACAAACTAAGAAGAGGGAAATCACCAAATAATACATCTGTGAGAAACCAGGGCTTGAACTTCCCAGACTCCAAGCCTGTAAATAATAGATGTTTTTGGCTTCATCCAGTTTAACAGCAATCTATAGTATTTTGTTATGGAAGCCAGACCTAGGTGTTCCAGAAGAAATAGACAAAAGTGAGAGGTAAACCTAATCTTTAGTCAACTTTCATAGGTATGTAATGGGCCAGGCAGGTTAAGGAGCTACTAAGGAACCCTGTCCAGCTGTACCACAGGACACGAAGGGTAGGCAAAACAGAGAGGTGGGAACAAACTTTGAGGAAGAGACATAAGATCCAGGAAATATCTTTTTCTTATCCATCTCTTCTAAGAAAGGAAGAAAGAAAAAACATTTGTAAGAGCAGAAACTATGATTGTTGTTGTGGATTCATTAACAAAACACTTAGCATATGTTCAGGAACAATGTATCTCTCCTTATACATACAAGTCTGCCTAAGTAAGTGCATCTTTTTGTAAGACTCCTTTCACATAATAGATGCAGAAACCATGACATAACCAACAGTTATATTCAAAGTATGTGACTCTTGGGTGAGCAATGGCCCTGGCAGATCAGGAAAGCTGCCAGTCACAGGACACCGTGGACATGCGTGACTGCACATCAGATGGCTGAAAGTTGGTAGTGGACGTCATTATCTAAGACTATTGTTGCCCTCTTTTCAACAATTCCAACAATTTCTTTCAGAAATACTGTTTCCAAGCACCCATCGGAATATTATCTTTGCACTTAGGCAGTTCTGCTTTCTGTTGGCTTTCCTTGTTGAGCACCAGTCAATCACTGATTATGCCTGAAATGATAAATATTGCTTCCCTGTCCCCTGTGAGCTCTTGCAAAGGTATGACCTGTGAAGAAAGGCCTTAGGAGGCATGAGAGTTGAGGTGTCAATTTTTGATACTTCATCCAGTTATACCTGAATTTTGAGGAAGTAGGGGAAGGTCAGGCTGATAATTGTGTGAAGCTGGTACTAGACAAAGATGGTTGGGTATAGATAAAGTCAAAATTTCAAGACTACTTATTTTTGCCACCTTTTATTCCCTTTCCCTATTCCTTCATCCTTCCTTGGATTTGTACAGATAACTTTGATATAACTCCAGCATCGTATATTTTATTTCCTTTGCTAGAATAGGAAGAAGCACAGTGACTTAAACTTTATTTGTCTCTTTTGAAGCTGTTGACAGCACTCCAGATTTGTGGATTCTTTATGTGTTCTAAAGTATTCCCCTGTGGGCTTTGGGAATTTTCCATTCTGGGTTTTTTTTAAATTGTACTATATATGGAGGGCAATTATGGCTCCATCCTTAAATTTATGTCTCTAGGATTTTGCTGATGATGATTTGTTCTTGCTTTTGCTTTATGCTTTTGAAATATTGCCTTTGTTGATGGTGTGGTGAGCACTTGTTCCCCAAACAAAAAATTTTGGAAAAGAAAACAAATGTCCTTGGGTTAGCTCCAGTAAGGTAGGAGTTAGTGTTGGGGTTAAACAAAGGAGGTGGAGTGTTCCCTGGGGTAGGAATGGAGGAAGTTTGCAGCAGCTGAGGATCTAGGGACCATCTTGGCAGAGGGAGACGTGGATTGCAGTGAGCGCCTGGGCACCACCATTCTGGAGGGAAACACAGCGTCAACACGGCTGCTGCTTACTTTCTCAGCTGAGCTTCTCTGAGGATGCCTGATCCCACTGCCCCGTTGCTTCCTCACACCCTGCTCTCTTAATCATTAGTAGCTGCAAGTTCTCAGTTGAGGCAGCATTCAGGTTAGCTGTTTTAGGCAATGGTCATAACCTCTTCAGCCTCAATTTCTGTAAAATGGGCTCTCATTATCCTGACTACTTGCCACTGCACACTGCTGGGTGATGTTTATTCCTCTCAGTTCTGATCCTGAGTGTGGGGCTCCAATGAAATATGCTTTTTCTTCTTTAGAATGAGGTCTGTGCCCAAGATCATTTATATATCACTTGCCGCCCTGTAGACTCTGCCACTGGGATGTGTGTGCTCAGTGGTCACCCTGACAGAGAGCAACCCTGCCCTGGTTCCATCTTCAACAGGGGCTATTATGTGGCAAGAACTTAGGACAGAAACTCAGGCTGGAGGACACCATGACTAACACTTCCAGTACAAAGAAGATAATCAACAACTGAAGTGAAACCCTCAACTTGGGGCTGGATAGGAGCAGATGGTTCACTCTACACACCCTGGCTAGATGGTGTGTGCTGATGGCTCATATGCCAGAAGCAAAAAGTAAAACTTTCCAAGTAGATGTGTATTTACCCATACACATGGTAGTAGCTTCTCCCAGGAATTAACTTAGTCAAGCAGTTCAATTAATCATCCATGCCCTGCCCTGACTTGCCAACTGACGAAAGGTAAAGCAGCAAGTATTTATGCTAATAGTTTGATTTGAGTTTAGTATGACTTTGAAATAGTTTGGGAACAAAGAAATAACCTGAGGATATTTCAGTACACGAAGTTCAATTTGTTTTCTTTAGAAACATTCCAACCTGTTTTGCAGAAACTATAACTCTACTGAGTCTGCTGATCTTAGGGGAATCAATGTCTTATTCTTATTGTTCCCAATAGAATCTGTGCCCCTCTGTCACTATTTCTTAAGAAAGCACAATATTTGCTTTCAGTTAGTTTATATTTCAGTGCATATCCCAAAGGGAAATTGGTGTTTTAGAAAGAACTTCTCACTGTGCCTATATAAATTATA